GAGCTATCCCCAGTCAAAGAAGGTTTTCTTTTTTATGACTAAAATTTTCACTCACTTGATTGCTAAAGGCGTGAGTGGTATGAGTCAGCCCCTGAAGAGCTGAGCAGCTGAACCTGAACTTCAGAGAAGTGGATAACCAGAAGCCCTGGGGCTTGTGTCTGGGGTTATAAAGAGGCCCATCCTGTGCCCTGCTTTGGGGCAGTGGGAGTCAAAGGAAGCCAGTCAGGGAAACAGAAGATGATGCCCAAACATAAGACCCAAAAAAGCAGAAGGGTCTGGTAATTCCCTTTTATAATTCTAGCATTCAAGAGGCTAAGGCAGGAGTATTTGCAGCCAGTCTGTGCTATATAGTGAAATGAAACCCATCTCAACAACACAAAAGGATGCCACATAAAATTTTACCTTATGTATTTATTCTAGAAAAGAAAGTTGGCGGGTTGCCGGGTGGTGGCGGCACACGCCTTTAATCCCAGCACTTGGGAGGCAGAGGCAGGCGGATTTCTGAGTTGGAGGACAGCCTGGTCTACTGAGTGAGTTCCAGGACAGCCAGGGCTACACAGAGAAACCCTGTCTCAAAAAATAAAAAATAAAAATAAATAAATAAAAAGTCACCCAGAATGCATCTGATTGTAAGAGCCTCTAATTCTAAGTAGTTAACCGGGCGCTGGAGGGAGCAGCGGGTGCTACCTGACGAGAGAAGGCAATCACGTGAAGATGTGTGCGGTGCCATGTCAGAAGTGTCTCCTCTGAGCCCAGTGAAAAGCTCAAAATGCTAGCACGCGGCCACTTCCTCAGCTTGCTCTGGACGCAGGCCCCGTCTGGACGACTGGGGACTTGCACACTAAGCTCCCATACAGTAGTCCTCAGCCAGCTACCCTGAGATAGGGACAAAGACCTGTGAGCCAGAGGGACCACAGCAGGGCATGCAGACGAGGGAACAGGACGTGGGTGAAAGGCAGGGTCCGCTAGAGGCTGACTCAGATGGTAATCAGACATGAATTCCCAAGTGAGAGGCAGGTCTGGGGAAACCAGTCTGTGGCTTTATACTTCAGATACGCTAGGGACACCTAGAGGACAGGGCTCTGTTGGGGCTCTGAGCTAAGGGGAGATGCCAAAGTTGGAGTGAACAGAAGGTGGCTGGAGCCAGAGGTCTGGACATGAGGACAGAAGGTTCTGAGACACGGCCCTAGCAAACCATTAAAAAGCAGGACGAGGAAGAGGCCAGGCTATAAGGGGAGCTCCAAAGAGAACCAGGCAAGGAGGGTGTGGTGGTGTGAATATGCTTGGCCTAAGGAGCAGCACTATTTGGAAATGTGGTCTTGTTCAAGTAGGTGTGGCCTTGTTGGAGGAAGTATGTCACTGTGGCCACAGGCTTTAAGACTCTTGTCTTAGCTGCCTGGAAGCCAGTCTTCTCCTGTCTGCCTTTGGATGAAGATGTAAAACTCTCAGCTCCTCTTGCACCATGCCTGCCTGGACACTGCCATGTTCCCAACTTGATGATAATAGACTGAAGCTCAGAACCTGTAATCCAGCCCCAATTAAATATTGTCCTTATAAGAGTTGCCTTGGTCATGGTGTCTCTTCACAGCAGTAAAACCCTAAGACAGAGGGTCAAGGACGAGTGGTCAAAAGATTCAAGAAAAACAAACAGGTTGACATAGTATACACCACTAATGAAGTCAACTGAACAGTGGCCTCTTACCTCAGGGACTCCAGCCAGAGCAATGTGGGGGTAGGACTGGAAACATGAGCAGCTGAAGGTGAGGGACAAGCACTCCTGGAAAATGCTAGGTCTGAGTGTCACTGAGGCCTCCGTCCAGGAAGAATGGATAACATGGGCAGACCCAGAGCTCAGCAAGCTTCCTGCTCGGAGTTCTTAACCCTTGCTACTCTGTCCTCCCTGTGATCCATGTGTTGAGTGTCAAGTTTCCTGCTTAAGGTACTTAACCCTTGCTGCACTGTCCTCCCTGTGATCTACTTGCTTGTGGATTCTTAACCCTTGGTATAGTGCCCCCCTGTTATCCATGCGTTGAGTGTCACTAGTGTGGCCTTTCACAGGCAGGAGCTCCAGAAAGCGAAGGACCTATTTCAGGGGGTTACTGATAGAGCAGGCAAAATTTGGGGGAGCTGAGAGAAAAAGCACCTCCTCAAAGAAAAAGCTTAAAACTCTTTTTTT